GCTTCAGTCTAATGTTGTAGTAGTTGTTTCCGTATTGTTGCACGCGTTTTATTCTAGCTTTCTATGTTGTTTGGCTGGGAAGGGACGAGCCGGGACGGACGGGGGCGTGTGGTTCGTCGGGGCCTAGCGGGCGGAGGTGTTGGGGCGGGCGGACGCGGGGGTGCTGTGGCCATGGGGGCACTGGGCATGCAGCATGCTCGTCGCGGGCGTGGGGCGGACGCGACGGGCTGCGGGGCGATCTGGGGGCTTGCGGACTCGCGCAACACAGAGGCTAGCGGGGCTCTTCGTAGGCATCGCGGGTCGCCGGTTTGTCGGTGTTAGTGGGTCTCTTCGTTCGACGAAGACGCAACATCGGCAGTTCGCGCGGGCGCGTGATCTCAGGGCGGAGGCGTCGGTCCATGCTGCTGCCCCGGTCTCGTACCATCGCCAATGGGTCCGCTCCTTGCGCGCGTCGTCGGGGGGCATGCTGGTAGCGTCCGGTGGGGGCGCGCGCCGGGAGAGTGCGGACTAGGAAGCGGACGAGGGGGTCGAGCGCTGAGGGGTGTCCAAACACCAGCGTCCAGGACGTTGGGGGCGGTAGCGGTTGTTTTTTTAGAGTGTAGTACAGTGCCGAGTACACCGTCACGAGACCTGCGTAATTCATGGGAGGAATGGGCGCTGTCGTGTACGAAAAGCCGTGGCGCCCTGCCTGAGTGCCTGCCTCTCTGTCAGCCTCTGGTACTGGACTGCAGGCAGCAGCTTCAACGCTGAGGCCTGACGAGGAGGAATCTCGTTGACTCCGTCCGTCGGCCATGCCCAATTGCCCTTGCACACACCGCGACACAGGGACCACTGCTGCGTCTCGGTCTCTCGGGCCTCTCGGCTCGGCTCGGCTCTCGTTTTCTGCCCGTCTGCCGGTGCCGGTAGCCCGGTACACTTTGTACAGTACCCATGCCGATCCTTCAAGGTCCAGCACAGCAATCCGTAGAGTCGTGGCACCAGCGCATGTGCATTGCTACGTCTCCTGTTGCCGTGGATTACTAGAACTGTAGTACAGCACTGCTGCAGGGGCAGGGGCCTCCGAAGATTCTCCAGATTCATAAAACTGCGCACGTGTCTCGTACGACGACACGACTCAGCACTAATTGAAGAAGAAGGCCCGCGAGTTGCAGCGTCACCTGCGCTGCATCGACACGACATATACCTGCAAACGGGGCGGTTCGACATATACCTTCAAAACGTGACCCGCTCCTAGTTTCAGCGAACGGATCGAACCGGTTCGACCCTAAAAAAATACAGGAGCGATAGGTTCCGACCCCAATCGACCCTAGGGTCGACCCGCTGGGTGAGGCGCGCGATCTCCGTGAAGCGGCAGGCGTAGGACTCGGCGACGCCGTTGCGTATCCGCAGCGCGTGCACCATGCGTCGCCGTCGAAGAGGTGGTGCCCGGCGACGGGGTCGAAGCAGGGGTTAGCGCCGTTGCGCACGTAGACGCTGTTGAGGCGCTGATGAAGGACGGGATGCGGCCGGTGACGGGGGAGCTCGCGCACGGGCGGTCTCTCCCCAACGGGCGCGAAGTTGGCGGCGATCTGCATGGCCGTGCTGGGTAGCCCGTGTGGCCGCTCGAGGACGTTGGCCACGAAGCCCTCCACGAACGCGTCGAGCGCGGCCGCCGCCGGCGCGCTGGAAGAAGTTGAGCTGCTTCTTGCCGCCGCGCGCCTTCCGCGGCGCGCGGCGTGCCTCGGCCGTCGGGATGGCGATGGGAGAGCCGTACGTGAGCAGCAGCGACGCGTACGGTTCGACCCCCGGCTAACCGCGGATCGCGCGGGCCAGGCGTGGACTCGGATAGGTTCGATCCGTGAACCTCTTTTGCGGCTGATGGGGCGTGGGGTCGGGACTAGGAGCGCACCGAACCGCCCCGTTTGCAGGTTGAACACGACACGGGCAGGGCGCCGGCCGCGGGCGTGTCCTTCCGGCGGTGGGTCATTTCCCCCCTCGCTCACCCCACCGCCATCACGCGAAGCGGTTGCGGCCCTGCTGTACCTGCCGATGCAATGCAATGCGCCTCTCCCTGCATGTGGGCCCCTTCTCCTTCCCCTCCTTCTCTTCCGGTCTTCTAGAGCCACGCACCGCTAGAGAACAAGCGCGGGCGCTCGCAAAACGACCCGGGCGCTCAGCCAGTCAGCCGGCGACGCGCGCACAGTAGTAGTACTAGGCGAGGAACGAACGGTCCGTTCCGGTGGGTGCCCACCGACCGAACGCAGCCCCCAAGCAAGTCCCCAACGGACTGTGTGATGGGCCCCACAAGGACACGGTGGGGCCCAGCACCGTAGCTTAATCAGTACTCTTTCCGACATGTGGGACCAAGCAGGGAGTCTGCGACTGCGAGCGGCTTTGGGAGGCACAGGGCGCACAGCACGGCGGCGGCATCCCAAGCGAGCGCACCACAGGCCACACCCACACCGATGTCATGTCACACACTCACACTGCGGGCTGGGGCGCATGGTCATGGACCGGGTGCACCAGGGCTTTTGCCCGACCCACACGTGTGACTTGTGAGCAACGGCCCCGCCGAACGCCGATGCCGTCGGGTGGCCCTGCCGGCGTACTGTGGACGCTCACCATGCAGATGTCGTGCCTGTTTCTGCGAAGGCAAAACAATTTTTTCGGGCTCTTCTGGGTTCTGGGCGCCTTTTGCACATAGGCCCCTCTGAATTAAAAAAATTCACGTGCCTTGGGGACCGGTGACTTGGAGATTGTGCGCTAGGTTTCTCTTTTGTCCGTCCAACTGTTGTTGGAGTGTTCGGAGTGCTGCGTTGTCTACGGATATGTGTTTTGGTTTTTGTCGTTTTGGGCTGTGGAGTGCCTCGTAAAACGATCTTAGGGCCTGCTTGAACAAAGGAATACAAAACAGAGGAATAGAAAAAATACATGAATATGGTAGAATGAAAGATGAAAAACTACGGTATTTCAAAACGCTAGGAATAGATACTTTGAGCCGTTTGGATTGCAGGAATAGGTTTAGATCATCACATGTCTCTAAGTAGCGATTATAGCCATTGATCCATCCTATCCTGGTTTAGGTGCTTTCCAAGTCATTTAGGATATTATTTTTTATTTCATCTATAAGCATTGTATGGTCTCTATACTTTTTTTAGAAGTAGTATCTTTATTACTTGACCGTTCTCTCTCCTATATGTTCCTAATTTTTTATCATCCCGAGCTCTGGCTGTGTGACAGTGTGATTGCATTCCATTTTATCGTCCCGAGCTCTGGCTGCATCGGGCTTCCGCGAAGGAACAAAAAAACAGAGCCAGGAGCAGATGTTTTCTTTCCCGTGAAATCATATTGTTGCTACAGTATTCCAAAGGAAAGGATTGGCTTCTTTCCTTTGTTCCAAACGCCATGACCATCTTCCTTTCCTCCGTTTTGATTTCCTTCACTTTTCCTATAAAAAAACCGTGTTCCAAACGCGCCCTTAGAATTCGGTGTTATACTAGATTTTGGAAACGAGGAATGATATTAGTGAATGGACCTTTTCAATATCATGTAGTACAAATAATGCTTCAAAATTTATAAAATCAGCAGCGCAATACTAGTAGTATTTAAAAGATTTATTGTCGCCACGCGAATAATAGTCACGCTGGTAGAACAGCTGAGTAAGCACACCTTACCCAGCCTAAATTGCTATGGTTTATTTGTGTGCGGCACGCATACTTTGCAAAAAGAGTAGTTCACTCAGTTTAAAGCGCTTTAGATGTATACGTATTTGCTATTTTTATCTAAAAAAGGCATTTCTCGTACTTGTTGCTTTTGCCGCGAAGCGAGAAGAAGCATGGATAATAGCACGGTGTAATAACTGAATATGGAGGATCTTGCATAATTAAAGTATTATTCATTGTTTTGGTCTTTGGGCGGTAATCTTGAAAACCGCTAGCTACAATAGTAATTTACTATATCTGCAATCACCTTGGGGAATCATTAGCATCAATGGTTTGAAATAAATATTGTGATTTAATTGAATGTATCTAAACAAAATCGTTGTGCGGAAATGAAGGTTGCAGGCAGCCTCAATGATCCACCTTTAAGCTCTTCTTCTAAGAAAAATAAAGAGAGGAGGAAAAAGTGCAGCACACTAAATTGCAAATTTAAAATTATCCAGGTACCTAGATGCAAAGCAAAAACCAAAAAAAACTATCAAAAACTAATTAAGGCCCCGTTTAGATGCGAAATTTTTTGGCTTTGGGATACTGTAGCACTTTCGTTTGTATTTGGTAAAAAATGTCTAATTATAGATTATTTAGGCTTAAAAGATTCGTCTCATCAATTACGAGTAAACTGTGCAATTAGTTATTATTTTTATCTATATTTAATGCTCCATATATATGCTGCAAGATTTGATGTGACGGAGAATCTCGAAAATTTTTAGATTTTAGACGGGATCTAAACAGTGCCTAAGTAGAGATAGTACTGTAGATAGAGACTTGATGGAGTGACAGATTGCAGATAGAGAGAGAAAGGGAGAGGAAACTGAAAGATTACAAAACCCCACATAATGCCTCGTTTAGATTGCCTCAAAGTTTAAAGTTTTTTCACTCTCTTCATCACATTAATTTTTAGACGTATGCATGGAGTATTAAAAAAATAACTAATTGCACAGTTTGGTTGTAAATCATGAGACGAATTTTTAAGCCTAGTTAGTATATAATTAGATAAAGTTTGTCAAATACAAACAAAACATGCTACAGTATCCAAATTACAAAAATTTACAATCTAAACCAGACCTAACAGAGATTTTAGAGCCAGAGAGAGAGACGCCACAAGAGGGGAGAGAGACAAGAAACAGGCAGGCGAAACAAACGGGGGCCTATTTCCCCGTCGTCGTCCTCGGTCCTCCAGTCCCCCGCCGAGTCCACCTTTCTCTCCGCCCTTCCGTCCCAAGTCCTCCCCGCTCGTGCGCCGCGGATGCGAGTGGTTTGCTTCGTCGCCGCATCCGGTCGGGCTCAGGGACGGAGGTGAGCATGGCGAGCATTGCGCGCGGCAGATCGCGACGGAGACAGGGCGACGGGTCGTCGGACCGGAATGCGGCACACTCCACCGTTCCTAACCCCGATCACCAAGGTCTGTGCGTGCCTGCTTTCTTGTTACAGATTCCTATGGTGCTCCTTGGATTCTTTTTTTGCAATTTCGGGTGAATTTCCGCGCAAGATTTTTTTTGGGGAAAGTAAGGAGTCCATGTGATGAAGATCTCACCTTTGATCTTGGATGGCGATGGTTGTTGCGATTATTGTCCCTCTTGCTCTGCCCTTAGGAGATCAGGACATTTTTCCTTTTCTTTCCCCTCGTAGCTCTGGTACTGCTAACGGGAACTTGGGATTGCTTGCACACTCGTCATAGTCCAGTTTTAGGTGTTTGCTTTGCTATTTTGAATTAAAATCCCGTCCTTTTACCTTCAGCTCCACTTCACTTCACAGGGATGGAGTTTGGTGTTGGGAAGGACGTCTTTTTCGGGTTAGCGCACAGTAGCTAATACTATGATTTTTTAGGATAAAGTCTGGCATAAATACACTTAGTTCTTGGCATAGCTAAGTGAAAGGGCATGTTATTAATCTTTTATAACCCCCTGTTTTCGGCTGCGGGGACATAGCTTTCTTGTGGACTTTAGGTCTTAGTCATGCCTTTATTGGAGAGAGAAAGATTCTTGCTTCCAATTTCAAACCATTTTGGCGGACGGTTCTTTTCCTTTTTCTTATAGTTCTTTCATTTGAAGCTGCAGTGGCCTAGATTCTGCACGAGTTCTAGGCCAATTTTAAAACCAAGGTTGAAAAGGATGTAATTTCCCATCCTGTTTTGCCGAATTGGTATACAGTTGTACAGCATGCTATGCTTTGAATTATTGAAGTACTGTAGAGTGTAGGATTTATAGTCTTAGAGTTGTCAACTTGTCAATTCCCAACGCTCTGGACCTTTTTTTGTAAACTGAATTCTGCTTTTTATCTAATGCATTCCAGTAGGACCCCCTTGGCCCTCCTGTTTTATCAAAAAAAAAAAAACTTGTCAATTCCCACAGGATCACGCAAAGAAACCTCACTTGCCCGTAATTTGCTGGATATGTAAGTTAAAGTATTAAATTATTCTTTTCTGCGTCATCTTGTCTATTGGATGCCGTGAAGGTTCATTGCCAAGTAGCTTTTATATGCTAATCACTAAGCAAATCGGAGTATTTGTTACACCTGGATTGGTCATTTAGTTATAGAAGATAAGTACACCTCCTTTAAGCACTAGGGTCCAGGGGTGAAACTTGCTATGAATTCCTTCTGCTTATTCTGTGAAGGAAGGTACTTGGGGTGGTAGAAATTCAGTCTACCACCATGTGGAATTGAAGCAAATACTGTGCATTCTTCATGGTTCATGTTTGTTGTGTGGTCCTACAAAGCCTGTACCTTGTCCATGTGTTGCTGGTTTGTTGCATATCCTTTATAGAGGTTCCATGCGATGAAAGGCTATGTATCTATGTAGTGTTAGCAGCAGGTAACATGGCAAGTCAGCGTTAGATAATATATTTCTGAATTGAGTATTACCACCTAGTTTTTGCAAAAGTTTCACTATTCTGTGGGTGTTCGTGTTCCAGAAAGTTACTATTTCTGGGCAAGCTGGTGATTGCCAATGTTTCAATTCTAATTTGCCGAAATGAAGTTGTTCAAGCTTGTTAATAAATGGCAACATGTGAACTCGCTGAACAGCCACTTTGATGTTTATAGAAGCTTATGCTTCTTTAAGTGCCCTTCTCTCAGGTTTGACAGTTGGATAATAATTCTTTAGTAAATTTTGAGTTATATAATTCCTTATGAAGAATTCCTGACCGAACCCAGCAACAGATATCTTCATACCATTTTACTTCTATAGTTAGAGAAGGAACAAATGGATTGCATTTGAAACCTCCCCTTCTGATCTTACCTTACAATCCAGTTCGGCGTGTTACTACTGTTGCCATTGTGGTTTTGGACCTGCGGAGATTAATTACCATTTCTTTTCTCTTTGAATTCAGGGGTTGTGTCCTCTAGGAAACAAGCAACTTACCCTGGGATGCTATCTGATTCTGTGGTGAGTAATGTGGATTTAGTTGAAGATTTATACACATGGATATGATTCACATGTTTGGAACTAAAGAGCTTAAGACTTACTAAAACTATGCCATCAAACTGACAGCATAAAGCTGAAATGCATATGATATTGATCTAGACATGTTTTAAACTGTGTGCTTTATTGTATCAAGCTAACTTTGCTGATGGTTATTTGTGGGAATAACTTTATTTCATTTGCAACTTCATCTATTAAACTTTTAGTCATTATTCATTCAACTTACTGTGCCATTGTAAGAGCTAACTAATGAGTTGCTATTGCCTCTCCCTTTTTTCCTTCTCAGTTTGCTGACGTAAACAGGCAGAGTAAATCAAGAAAAGCCAGTGCTGTACCAATGAAAATACTGATAGATGAAGAATTTTCAAATGATGTCAATGCTAGGCACATTTCACCAGGTGCTGTAGGAAGGCTCATGGGTCTTGATTCGTTGCCCTCATCTGGAATCCATAATCAGCATAGGCATACCCAAAGTCCTGCACCAAAGACTTCACCTGGTAGTTTTCATGCTCAAAATGGTTTGCATGAAGACATTCCACACAGGAGTAGTGCAGATACCATTGATGTTTTTGAAGTTACGGAGGCCGCAAAAACAAAGATGCACCGGAGTCCAAGATCTAAAATTGGAAATACAACTTCCAGATCTGACAAGGTTGACAGTGCTGATATAGATATCATAAGGCAGAAATTTATGGATGCTAAGCGTCTTTCTACTGATGAATCCCTTCAAATGTCAGAAGAATTTAACGAGACACTTGATGCACTGGTATCTAACAGGGATATTTTGTTGGAATTTCTTCAAAAATTTGATCCTGCTGTCAGAAGGGACCTGCACAATCATGGTTCTCCATCCTCTGCTGCAAACTGCATCACGATATTGAAGCCATCTCGAAGAAATCATTTTATTGACATGGACAATATTTATCCACAAGAGAAAGGTACCGAGAGCATCTTCAACGAGCAAAAGGAAGTGAAACATTCTTTGAGGAAGCCATATTCTAATGTGCCCTTGCAATCCCGAAAAGAAGATTCTTGTTCATTAAGGCAGAAACTGTCAAGGTCCAGTCACCAGGAAAATACTGGAAAACGAGGCTGCCCCACTCGGATTGTTGTCTTGAAGCCAAATTTTGAGAAACCTCATGATATTGAAGAAGCCCTTCCTCTACATCATAAAATCCCCCATTCTGATTATAGAAGCCACAAAGAATGTCCGGAGGTTGGTAGATGGACTCCGTATACTGAAGATTACATGTCTCAGGTGCCCCTTGGAGATTCTGAAACATTAAGTCGTATGGGGAAGGGATCTAGAGAAATTGCTAGGGAGATCACCAAACAAATGAGAGCTGCTAGGTGTGGGAGTAGGAAACATGCTGTCAAACCGGAGATCAGAACTCCTGCTTCAGATGAAAGGTCACAGTTCCTGCCATCTGTTACTAAACTCAAGACTCCAGAGGCAATTCATAGATATTCTGAGCCATGTGATGCTTGGGCTTCTTCCAGCCTAAACTCTTCGCCAACATATTTGACTGAAACATCAGTAAGCAAGGAAGCAAAGAAACACCTCTCTAACAGATGGAAGACCCATCAGTGTCAGCATCAAGAAACTGATAGTGACAGCTTCAGCACGCTTGGGGATATGCTTTCCCTCTCTGATCAGAATGCATCAAAGGTTGCTGCCCATAAAATGACATCAAGGAAATGTCCAAAGACAGGAGTGCAGAGTGATAGAATGCAAAGCTCATGCATCTATCCTCTTGGCATCAGCAGCAATGATGGTTGGAGAGACACAGCTACTAGTAAATTGACAAGGTCCAAGTCTCTTCCATCATCCTTCATCCGTGGAGTTCAAAAGTCGAACAATAGAAAAAGAACTGGTAGTGTTACGTACAATGAGTTCTCGATGCTTAAAGATGTTCTTAAGGTTGGACCCCACTATTCTGAACATGCATGTCGTAGCAGGCAAAGACAATCTCTAAGTAGAGATTCTACAATTCATGGTGATGAATCTGATCTGATGTCCACAGATAATGAGGAAAAAATGGCAGTTGAACGTGAGATACATGTAAATTACGAGGAACCAATTAATGGTACTGCTGTGACAGAAACATCTGGGCAGTCACAACGTCCTGCAAATCTTGACCATGAACTAGATGCAGTAGGTATACTGGATACCAGTTCTGCAATCCCTGTCAGTAATAAAAGACCTCTTTCTCCTGCTGGACAGAACCAGCAAATGCTTAAGATGACCACAACAGCACTAGATAACTGCCTTCTTGTGCCTAGTCTCGATGATCTGATGGCTAAGGTACTAACGTGCTTTCTTTCCTATTGTTCCCTTTAGCAAGTCTTCAATTATGTGGGCACTTTGTTTTCACAAACAGTTTGAATTTCCTCTGGTTTGTTTTGTATTAAGGTTCCGGGGTACTTTCGTTCTTTTTTATCTACCCTTTTAGTTTGCACTTACTGTGTGTTCTGCTGGAATCATGAAATGTTCACAAAGCCGTTTGTCACAAACACTGATTTCTCAGTTTAAAATATGTGTGTACTTACCATATTGCCTTTGCTGTAATTGGGGTGGGTGTGTGTGTGTGTGGGGGGGGGCGCTTGATCTTTCCATGTTGTGCTTAATAACTGCCTACTATTTTCGATCCAGCATGAGCAAGTTGAATACCATGAAGCTGATGATTACCCAGCCACTTATGATCCCCAGATAGAATCTGATTCTCCTGAGGAGATTAATCATCATCTGGGGGATGACAATCAAACCCTCTGTATTCCACCTAATGAATCAGAATCACCAGCAAACTCCAATAAAGACGACCAGCAAAGTCCAGTGTCTGTTCTTGAATCTTCCATGGACGCAGAAGATGTTTACTCAGGAGATTTTGAGAAAATTAGTGCAGATCTCCAAGGCAAGTGATTGAATTCTTTTTTACAGATTTCTCTTCCACTCTTCCTTATTCCTAGTTCTTAAGTTTGATTTATTGTAAACATTGCAGAGCTCAGATTGCAACTTCGGCTTCTGAAGAGGGAGACTACAGACACTGGAGATGACAACGAGCTTTTTATATTGAGTGATGATGAGGCAGCACGTCAATCACTTCCTGAAATGGAGGAATCCCATTCTTTTAGGAATATGGATGAAAGGGATTTCTCCTATGTGTTTGATATGCTTGTTGCTTTGGGTATTCATGCGCCCAACGAGGATGAGCTGATTGACAACTGCTACTTACTGGAGTGTCCTGCAGGCCTTGATTTATTTGATGATCTTGAAAAGAAGTACAGCAGCCTCATTTTATGGCCACAACATGAGAGGAAGCTCTTGTTCGATATCACAAATGCTGTTCTTGGGGATATTATTACCTCCGTGATGAACAGTTGCTCAAAGAGATTGATGGTGAGGTGCTCACCTGGATGGAATGAGGAAGAGTTTGCTGAGCTTGTGTGGAAAAGGGTGGTGCAGGTACAGCAAGAAATAGAGTTTAATCAGGAAGCCCTACTCTTGAGTGTAGAGTGGGTTGGCTCAGAAGATGGCACCAATCTGGTTGGGTGCGATATCGGGAGTATGTTGCAAGATGATCTCCTAGAGGAAATTGTAGCTGACTTTCTGGGTGTTACTAAATCCGCCAAGCTCCGTGGCTAGAGCCTATGTTTGCATCCGAAGCCATTAGAAGCATATGCATGGATTGGTGGCTGGTGAACTCTAGTGGGAGATGAGCCCTCGATGAATTGCTTAAGGAAGGGATGATAATTCCAGGAGTTCACCTCATGGCTACTGAAGGGCATGGGCTAAAGATGGCGTAGGTGATGGTGGAGCATCAAACAAGTGGTGTGGAAGTTTGACCTGGCTGTGTCATGCTCATGTACATGTCACCTTTGACTCCGAACTCCTCAATAACGTAGTACCGGAGGTTTTTCCCTCTGAACTCTGAAAAGCGTTTTAATTTTTTTAGGTTCGCATAATGCTGGAATATAGATGTACAATTTTGGTTTTAAGGAATTGTGTAAAATAATCTCTGGCTGAATTTAGTATGTTTATTATTACATGCAATAATGGTAGTGTTAGTTCAGACATTATTATCTGTCAGTTTAGCTCTTGTGATGGTGTGCTGTGCACTACGTATCCTTTTGCTGGCTGTGGTATGCTCTTTGTAACAAGGAGCTACGCCATAAACGTTGGACCTAGAGCAAGAGATCGCGCCTCTTGAATATATGCATGGCTGCGTTGTGGTTGCCGTCTCTTCGATGAAACACTGCCAGACTCATAAGCTGTTGAGTGCTGAGCATGCTACTGGCAAAGCAGCAATAGCTCCTGGAAACCGTGGGCCGAAGGGGCACCATGGATGCACCTACGCGGGCGGGCAAACCACTCCTGCAAATCAGCATCTGCCCGTTCGTCCCGGTCGTCTAAGCGCTGGGATATGTGGCGCCACGCCTCTGCTGTTGTCCGTCCCAAGTCCCAACCGCACCTCTTCTTCAGAGGTTTAGGTTCCTGGGCGTCCTCGCACAACTAACGCACAACACCGCCATCAAACTACTCCACTCTGCCCACGTCTGGCTCTCGGCCTACCTGCACCTGCACGAACCGCGATCCCTATATAATCTGGCATATCGCTGCACAGCAACAACAGGTACAAGTGATCGATCTACTGAGAGTGGGCAATAGCTGGTTGGATAGACGCCACAGTCCTCGCTCTTCTCCAGTGGACGTTCAAGCCTGCGTGGCTTGCGAGACATGGCCAAGAACGCGGTGCAAGCCGTCAGGGCGGCACTGTGCCTGGTGCTCGCGCTCACCGTGGCGAACTGCGCATTCGCTGGTCGCGTCCTCGACGAGCAGGCTGCGGCTCCCCTGCCGGCTGACCCGCTGCCCGCCCCGACGGATCCCCCGGCAGAACCAGTGGTGGCGCCAGCGGCCGGCCCAGCCGCAGCCGCCGGCGCTGCGGGTGCCGCCGCGACGGGCAACGCAGGAGCCGCCGGCGCGGGCGCGGGCGTGGGCGACCACCCGCTGACGTTCTTCATGCACGACATCCTCGGCGGCTCGCAGCCGTCGGGGCGCATCGTGACCGGCGTGGTGGCGAGCGCGGCGGCCAACGGGCAGCTCCCGTTCGCGCGCCCCAACACCAACATCTTCCCGATCCAGGGCGCGATGCCGCTGCCGCAGGGCGCCAGCAACCTCATCAACAGCAACAACGTGCCCTACGTCGCGGGCCTCGGCGGCACGTCCTCCGCCGTCGTCCAGAACAACGGCAACCCCGTCAACGGCGGCAACAAAAACATCCCTTTCGTCAACGCCGGGGACCTGCCGTCGGGCGTCACGCTCCAGAACCTCCTCTTCGGCACGACCACCGTCATCGACGACGAGCTCACCGAGGGACACGAGCTCGGCGCGGGGGTCATCGGCAGGGCGCAGGGCTTCTACGTCGCCAGCTCGCAGGACGGCACCAGCAAGACCATCGTGCTCACCGCCATGTTCGAGGGCCCCGAGGCACTGCATGGCGGGGACACGCTCAGCTTCTTCGGGGTCCACCGCATGGCCGCGCCGGAGTCCCACATCGCCATCATCGGAGGCACCGGCAAGTACGAGAACGCCAAGGGCTTCGCAGCCATCCAGACGCTGCACCCTGGCGACGAGCACACCACCGACGGCGTCGAGACTCTACTCCAGTTCAACGTTCACCTCATTTAAGCCGCTCCATTACCATTAGATCGACAATTACCACTTCTTGTCCTTCCAGCAGTTTCGTGCAACGTTTGTTATTCCAAGTACTGTGCCAGCTTTCGGCCATGTATGTAATATACTAATAGGTGCTATGATCGCATCAGCATATTGTGAGATTGTACGAGTAAATCAAGTATGTTTCTCCTAAAAGAAATGGCATGAGAATACGACATCATCCTACGTAAAATGGAGCTGGATGGGTTTCAAGAACATTAGAAAGAGGGACTAAATTTATGTAGACATCTCACTGTTCGCTGAAAGGCTACCATGTAATTCTATGGCGAACTTTATGTATCGAAGAAACCGTAACCAAAGAACAGATGTCCAGTCACAAAAAAATAACTCGCCCTGGAGGAAGAAATTTTTGGCAATTAGTCCTAAATCTGAGCTCTGTCAAGGGCTTCAAGGCACCAAAAAGAGCTCTGTCAGTATGATACAGTATTCTGAGACTGGTAGCTTTGGGCTCCCAATTAGAAAGAGGGACTAAATTTATGTAGACCTCAATTCTCATCCATGATGCGTTTCTGGAAGTCCGAGACCATACGCGGCAGGCCTTGTTTTAGTGAAACTTTGGGCTCCCAATTGAGAAGAGACTTGGCCTTAGAAATGTCAGGTTTTCTCATGTGTGGATCATCTGCAGTGTTGGGTTTGAACTCGACAGATGCACCTGGGTCGAGCGTTTCTTTTACCACCTGCAGCAAAAGAATGCAGTATCATGATTCCTGGTAGGGATATTGTAGACAGGAAGCCGTGGTATTCTGAAAGAACAATGGATAGCAAATTTCAGTGTCAAGGTCAGACCTGTGCAAGCTCCAGCATTGTAAATTCTCCCGGATTCCCCAAGTTGAAAGGTCCAATATGGTCACTTTCCATTAGAGTTACCAACCCATCAACCTATAAATTTATAGATATGTAAATTCTTCAGATCTGAATGTGGCAAACATGAACTTTCTGCAGCAAACAAAATTTAAAATAGAAACTGATTTATGAAGAACAAAGGTCGAGGAAAATAAAGAACACTTGCATGCATTATCTGAATATAATTTGTATAAAATAAACAATTGAAACTTCTTCATATAGAACGAGAGACAGAAACCATGCATAAGTACCAGATCTGAAACATATTGAAAACTTCGAGTCTGTTTTCCATCACCATACACTGTCATTGGTTGTTTCCGCAAAGCCTAGAAATGAAGCAATGCCAACTTTAAGCAGTGCTGAAGTTCTATGATAATCCTCTTCTCCAATGCATCAGAATCACAAACTGAGACAAACCTGTGCAACAAAGTTGCTAACAACTCGGCCATCATCTAAACACATACGAGGGCCATATGTGTTAAATATGCGTGCAATTCTCACCTGAGGGAAGCAGTACTATGTCAAAGTTTGCTCTTCAAGAAGAGAATAAAGATAAAGCACACAGACAACTCATAAGTCATAAGCAGCATTGCAGTATATAAACAAAGGATGTACTAAGATCTTGACAAAGTGGAAACCAGCCATCGAATATTCAAAGTTCAAATAAACAAAGGGATCTGGTTAATTAGCACTTTAGTGTAATGCAATGCCCTTTCCTGAATTCCCTCGCACCTATAAATACTGTGTAAACAGTATACTATCCACCCTAGAGAAGACTTCTTTCTTTTTTCTCTGAACACGAAAGACATCCTTTTCAAACTTAACAATAGACCAATTTTGAGTTCAGGAAAAAAAAGACCGTTTTTTGGGGGGTGGGTGGGGGGGGACTTAATGCCACATACCATAAAGATATTCATTTTTTCGGCAAATCCATGTTCTAGTATACTTAATCGTAATTGTTAAAAAAATTGAAATGTATGCAAACGGTAATGGATCACCCGTGCTCAATATTTGACATTTGGACCCTGCTAAGTACTTGAAATAAGACATATGAATACCACCTCAAAGTCGATTATTACATCTAGTTCAATTTCAGAACTTATCAAATACTGACACCTAAACAGTTTTAGAGCTTATTAAATACTGACATGTAATAAGCAGTTTTTAAAGGTCCCATTGCCAACAAGATAACCTTTGCTAGACATGGATCCATAATCAGAAACTGAAGCTTTACCTCGACACCAGCACCACGGTGGTAATCCATGGTAAGAGTTTCAGCTGTTCTCTTCCCCTCATCATAACAGCTCCTAACACCTGCATAATTATAACATAGCGAAGTATATCACATTGTATCGGACTGGAGAGACTCAAATGGGGCATACTCCTAAGATATGTCAAACTTAGCACACCAATGGGATTGACATGGCCCCAGTAGCTCTCCTTCTGTGGATGCTCAAGAGGATCACCATACACTTCACTGGTACTAGTCAGCAAGAACCGGGCCCCGACCCTCTTTGCCAGTCCAAGCATGTTCAAGGTCCCCATGACATTTGTCTTGTACATAGTTGGTTAAGGAAACAATTGGAGAAAAAGCAGACAAAACAAACAGATGTAAATCCATGCTCTTCCCCACGCAGGCACAAAACTACAAATCCACCCCCACGCCCACCTTCAACTCATGTGAAATGTGCATCATAGAATAGAACTTACATTGAAGAAGTTGTATCCGTGTCCATAAATAAATCAATAAAGACAAATATATTGAATCCAATTCCTGTGAGGATGTGGACGAATTATGCGCGGCACAAGGGAGCGGAAAGGATATGATGGTCTTGATGGGGTTGAATTTGTAGTGCATGGGGGATGCGGGGCAGGCGAGGTGGTAGATCTGGTCGACCTCTAGGAGAATGGGTTCGACGACGTCGTGGCGGATGAGCTCGAATCGCGGGTTGCCGAGGTGGTGCGCGACGTTGTCCTTGCGGCCCGTGAAGAAGTTGTCGACGACGATGACGCTGTCCCCGCGGGCGAGGAGCTTGTCGACGAGGTGGCTGCCGACAAACCCCGCGCCGCCGGTGACGACGACGCGCAGGGAGGGCTTCCGGACGCCGACGGGGAGGCGGCGCGCGGAGGCGGAGGAGGCGCCGCCGCCGCGGGGGATTTTCCTGGCGACGGCGGCGGCGAAATTGGTGACGGAGGAGGATCCGGCGGCGGAATGCGGGCTGACGGACGACGGGTAGAGGAAGAAGAAGGGCGAGGCTAGGAGGAAGCCGAGGAGGACGAAGAGGAGGCGCTGCTCGCGGAGGAGGTAGGAAGCGAGGGTGCGGGAGAGGGAGGCGCGGTGGTGGTGCGGGCGGTGCTGCTTGCTCATGCTGGCCTGCCGGTGCAGCTGCTTCATGGCGGGGTGGGCGTGCGCCCTCTCGCCGCCGGAGGGGGAGAAGACTGGTGGCGGAGTGAGGGGGAGAGGGAGGCGCGTGGAGGCGGTTGGGCCCCGCAGCTGCCGAATCGAATGCGATTCTTCCTGCCGCTGTGGCTTGTCGCCCGCAGATTCCGCACGTGCGTCTGGAATAGTTCTCTCTTCTTTTGCTTCCAGTGGAATGTCACTTTGTATTCATTTATATAACTTTGGACAAAAGCAACATCACTCAGCGACCGCATAGCGCAGTGGATTAGCGCGTCTGACTTCGGATCAGAAGTTTGTGGGTTCGACTCTGTGGTCGACTCATTTATCTCCTTCGTCTAAGCAATTTTTTTTCCCAAAAGTCTTCTTCGTATTAGTCCGGGATCACAGGTTTGCCTTCTGCTACACAATTGGTGCTCATTGGTTGCTCCTTATTTGCATTTATTGCTCTATATGACTGCTCATTGGCTGCGACTCTTTGGCTGCTCTTTGCCTTAAATGTAAATCGGCGTTGTTTGCTGCTCCTTGGTTATTACGCCAAAGGCTAATATAGACGGGGAGTATACTCCTCCAACTGTACGGTGTTTTTTGTTCTGATGTTTTTTTTTTCTGATGATACTTTTTTCCTTTGTGTTATACTCCTAACACTGTACGGCAGAAAGCGAACGTGTCAAGCTAGACTTATTTTGTTTTGCAATAACTTTGCTTGGAAGAAGATAAGAAGTTCAACGATCAGTCACGTCGTTTGGTACGCTTGTTAAAGTCTTTACTTCAGGACGATCGATGACAACAGATGAACTGAAAGGTGAAAGGCAAGTGGACTTGTTAGAACAGCACGCTGTATCTGGCTTGCTGATCGATCACCATCAGCGATGTTGTAAGATCAAAGATAAAACTGAAATTCAGATATCAGCTGTTGATTTGTTGATGATGGTAGTGTACCAAACAGAGCAGTCCCGTTAGCTTGAGAAGGTAGAGAATTGGCCTATTGACGCCTCGTAGAACTAGCTTTTTTAACAAACATCTAAAGGAACATACTCAAGAAAAAGGCATAAACCTCTTCGATGTTTTTCTTGTTCTGATACTTTCTCAAACATTAAGTCCGTCTGTCCATTGTTTTTTTTTATCTTTTTGGCTACTGAGAGTCTGAGAACGTGTGCATGGATAGTGTTGGGAGAGGTATCGTTATACCCAGAGGTCGGGAGTTTCACTTCCCGTTCTTAGAAAATGAAGGCCACAAGCAAAACTATTTGATAGCTACGTTTTTTAGTCTTTTTTTACTCTATGGTTGGGATTTCTTCTTAATAAAAAATACATTTTTCACCTAACGGTTGAAAGTTCTTCTTTATGAAAAATATTTCGACATGCTTTCCTAGGGGTAAGTTTTTGTAATATTTGTTGTTGCTTATGGTAGAACCTATCCACTCGGTTCAGCTTAATAGATGTGCTTTTTTGTTAATTATTTAGTCATCTCTATCAATAGCGAAGGCTCAATTTTTCGTAGAGTTCATAGAGACAGAGCATGTTTGTGTGCATTTAAGTACATGTTGATTACCATGCTTCATAAAGAAATCTGTCCTCGATCTCTAAACTAGCTATGACATTAAAGAAAACCTAACTATTTTTTTTTCATAACAGAGAGGCCTACCCCTTGATAAATCTACATATATCTTATTAAAGAAAACCTAATTAATAAAAATATTTTTCATAATAGAGATGCGGCCTACCCCTTAATAAATCTACATATATCTTATTAAATAAAACCTAACTAACGTAGATATATTTTATGCAAAGTATTCACGTCAACGTCCACTAGTATGCAATCCTAATGGTGTCGGGGACCAATACTAGGGTACCCGAAGAGGATGAGCTAATAACCATCAACATTGATTCATCTGAGCAGTCAAGAGCGCGGCTACACTTCTTACTGGGCTCCGCCTCGTCCGACCACCGAAGGTTGGCTCCGCCTCGGTGGACAATGAGGCCGCAAGCTCCGCCTCGCCCGACCCCCGAGAGTTGGCTCCGCCTCGCCCGACGTCCGAGGGTTGGCTCCGTCTCGCCCGATCCCCGAGGGTTGGCTCCGCCTCGCCCGACCCCTGAGGGTTGGCTCCGCTTCGGCTGACTCCTGAGGGTAGGCTCCTCCTCGGTCGACCCCCGAGGGTTGGCTCCGCCTCGGGCGACGTCTAAGGGCTGGCTCCGCCTCGCCCGACGTCTGAGGGCTAGCTTCGCCTCGCCCGATCCCTCGGACATGGCTCCTAATGGAAGCTCACGCCGCGGCCAACCGCTACGGGCCAGAAAGTACTACCCAAGGTCAAACTTCTGGCATCGTGTAGGGAACGGTCACGTCTCAGCACGACCCGTCCCCACGACATGTCATTCCAGGGAACTCACATCGCCCACAGTGACGGACGCGTGGTCACCGTGGCCGCCCGCCTCCTCGTAAGACCGTTGATTAGACGCTGATTCGCGCAGCACCGCCCGGCAGCCAAGGAAGCGGAATTTACGGCCCACCGACAACGCGAGAGGCATGGCGATGTCGATGATGAGAAGCGCCCGGCATGGGGCTACCCTCGCCGCCACTGCCATGTCGGTAAGGACCCATGACGGAGGAAAAAAAGGCCAATGGCCGAAGGACTTCATCTGCCTCTCGTTCTTTTTTTTCTCCCATTTGTAACCTGTGCTTTTTCCTTGGCCTATAAAAGGGAAAGCAGGGCGTCCCACTAAGGGGCATCGGTTCAGCACATCGCATATGACACCGCATCAGGTCAAGATTACTAGCATCAAACCTCGAACACATAGCCGAGCAGCGACCGAGCTCTCGGTACCCATTCGTTTTTTCCCACCAGAGACTTGGGACATGCCCCTCTCTCGCCCGTTCGTAACCCCTACTACGAACTTTTAGTGCTAGTAACACGAGCAACAGCAACGAACTGGACGTAGGGACATTTTGTCCGAACCAGTATAAACCTTGTGTCCTCTTAGCACGCCATCCAGGACAGACGCGTAATAATACAAATTTACTCGTTGGTGTTTACTCGAAACACCGACAAATGGATATCTCTTCATATAAACTATCCGCATTAGCAAGCCACGTCCTCCGATTACATGTATTGAGTTTTTTTAGAATTTACATGTATTGAGTTTTCCACGTCAACGGTACGATAACATTCATTTAGAATAAATATTCTATCCTATTATATGAGCTAATAATTATAGGTTGTTCAATTTCCATTGCAAAGCATCAGTGTATGTGTATGAGATGAGAGGAGCTCACAAAATTATTTCCCTTGCATCAGTAGTATTAGTTCGCTGGATAAGGCCCAAAACCTTTGCTTTAACAGGGCCTTTGGTTGGAGTTGGAGGGCCCAAAACGTTGCATCAACGAGGCACACAAATTCCGGTCTCTTCTTACTCCGCCGGACTCGTCCCGTGTGGGTGTGGCTACCGCCAGTCTCTGCTTGAAGACTCAAGTCATGTCTGGCGCAGAAAGAGAGTTTCAGCTTTCAACCTACGCGTTGTTCCTTGAAGGAGAGAACACATCGACAAAGAGCCTGTTTGCTGATTGGTGCTGGCGTTAATTTAGGCTGGTTGGTGCTGGTTTTTTAAGAGAAAAATACTGTTGACTAGCTAATTTGGGTCGGCTGAAATCAACAAGCGAACAGGGCGAAAGAAAGAGAACACTCATGCAGCGACCAGCGAGTGCGAGGCATTTATTTCTGAGCAGCCCCTCGTCCTCCCTGATCATACCTCGTAGTTATAACTGCACTGACAATCTGACGTGTCTGCCCACCGAGGTCCCTTGTTGCTGTCGGGCCGGCCGGCCGGGGAGTGGACTCGTTGACTCACCAACCAGCAAAGCAAGTCAAGATAAGCTGACCACGTGAAGAATCCAGACCGAGACGCGAAACCGGATTAATGCACTGTTGGCAGGGCATCTGGGAGGAGCTGGGATGTTTAACCCAGTCTCTGCACCCTGCGCGGTCTCGCTGTGACGCTGTGCGTGGGCCTTGTCCCTCGTGGTTCCTCGTTCGATCTGTTTGGATAGTAGAAGGAAACCTCTTTACCGGCTGCACTGGATGTCTCGATCGCCTTTTTACCGGCTGCGCGTTTGTTTTTGCTTGGAAAGCTGAAGCTGCCATTAAAAAAAAGTGAAGGCAGAACGTGTGCTCGGTGTGCGCGTTGCCCCATGACGGATGCCGGATGGCGCGTCCCGGGCTGCCGGCACGCGGCGCAGAACTGCACGTGCGTTTCGCAGCAGCGACCGCGGCGGCGGGCGGGGTCGGAGACCGAGACGGAGACGGAGACGGAGACGGAATGATGAGAGAGGCCCGAATGCAACGATTCGGGATTCTCCCATCCACTTCCACTCATGGCGGTGGGCCGGGATTCCTTTGGCCGGATCGTGGCATCGCGCTTTGAGATTTTAGCCACTAATGGGAGCCACTAGGACGAACACGAAGAATATCACCACGGTGGTGTGCTAGCTGCAGTTTTTGTAGGATGCAGCTGTGCTAAAAGTAGAAAAATAAAATCTTTGTAGCTAATAAGTGAAGCAGCTGCAACTGTGGCTGTAAACAGAAAACTAAATTCTATTATTGCTAATATGTGAGCTAAGATCCTGTTTGAATCCATAAAACTAATATCTAGTTAACTAATTTTTAGTCTCTAATCATCCAAACAAATGAACTAACTGTTAGGCCACTAGTCACGGACTAGTTGTTAGTCTATTAATCTATTTATAGGAGCTAATATGACTAGTTGCCAGTACCAATCCATCGAATAGGACCTAATACGTGAAACCGTTGCAGGTACTAGAAAAGCAGAAGCGGTCGGGCTGGTAGTCCATCAACCAGTTTATGCAGCAAGCTGCCGAGACAGGCGCTCAAAAAATAGAGTTGGAAACTGATGCCACCATGGTGGTCCAAGCAGCGACAACAACAGAGCTGGACGGCTGGACCGGTGCTCCGCTAGTTGACTAGTCTGGGAGTTTTTTATTT